TGTGTGTGTGTGTGTGTGTGTGTGTGTGTGTGTGTGTGTGTGTGTGTTTAAGGATATGAGTTTTACTGGTAAGTGAAGCAAAACGTAGATTAATTTGAAGATAAATCGAATCCAGGCATAGTGTCTTTAAGAATTATCAGTGAATTATTTTCCTTGATAAAGCTGCTGAATGGTGCATGTATTTTATTTAAAACAAATAAAATTCTTTCAGAATGCTTATTTTTATTTAAAACAAAACAAACAAAACCCAACCTCTTATCCTCACATTTTCCTGTATGTGGGCAAGAAGCACTTAACTGAGAATAAAGTGATGGTAAGTGCAAGTCTTTCACAGAGTAAGGAATTAGGGCTGCAAAAAAAAAAAACAAAAAAAAAAAACAAAAGACTCTTGGAAGTTAGAAAGAAAACGACACAAAGGGCAAAGTGTTGCTGAAAGAGTAGACATCACAGTGACAGCATAAAAACTAAGTTCAAAACACTAAGCTTTCCCTGAAGGTAATGTTTTTGGGACAAGGAGAGATTAGTTTCTGCTCAGTGAGCTGCGGCTCAGATGGTTTTTGTTCAGCATCCGGCATTGGGAAAAGCTTACGCTGATACCTGGTCCAGCATATTCAAGGTCTCATTCCTTTCTTTGTACTGTAGGTAATGTAGAGGAGTGTTTTCAAAATTATTATTTCTGGACAAGTTCGATCCTGACCTCACTGTAAATTCTGCTTCCCCATCCTTGCCCAGAGCAGTTAGTGTCTCTGGTTTCTCGGGTTTTCTGGAGATGGTCTGTGCAATGCTGATGATGTAACCCGTCTCTACATTCACTTCTTTTTGGTGACCACCAGTGTGTCTCCGCAAACAGCCAGCAATGTGGCTCCACCTGTTTTTTTTTGGGGGGGGGGATTTTGGAGAATTGCCCTTTTTGGGCACATACAATTATTGTGACTTTCAAAGTTAAAAACCTAAAAGTATAAAGTGTGTGTAAAAGAATGGACTGCTTTAATCATTTTTAGGGTGCAGTCGGGTGCATTAAATTATTTTGCTTCCTTGTGTAGCCGTGACTACACACTCCAGAGCATTTTTCATCTTCCCAATCGGAAACTGATCTCATCAGACACAAGCTTCCATTGCTTGTCCCTCCAGGTCCTGGCCGCCACCATTCTGTTTTCTGCCCTTAAGAATTTGATGGAGGAGCCTTACGTCAGTGGGATGCTGTAGCTCACCCCCTCCCCCCCATCTGTCTTACTACACAGAATGTCCATAAGGTTCTTCAGCCCTGAATTATGTGTCAAAATTGCCTTCATTTTAGAAGACTGAATAGTATTCCATTTGTGGCTTCCTCATTCATCAGTGGACATTTAGCTTCTTTGTACCCTTGCCTACTTTAAATGACACCTCGAAGCATGTAAGTGTATGAAGACATATATAAATTAAGAAT